CCCTTTTTGCTGGAAAAGAGGCATTCCATCTTAGTCCGCAGATGTAGATGTCTATGGGTCACAGCAACCACTTACCATCAGGTGGACTGCGTGTCTGTTTGTCACCCTATTCTATTAAAAAAAGGTGGTTATAGCGCTATCTATCGTAAACCATAAAACATGACATTCTCCATAGTCGCCTCAAACGATACCCACGGGACTAAATGGGGTCATGAATTCCCTTACGTCGCCACTAATATAACTAACAACACTAATATATATTAATTTAAAAAATACTCTTAATCGCATTATCAATACCGTCATCTATCTATCCTCGATTTAATATCAAAATACAAATGCGGCTCAACTCTTGAAAACTAAGATGAAATGCCCCGTTACCAGTAGTAATAAGACTCCGTGTTTTTCGCCAATTGACTATCAGAAACAGGCAGCATTATGCTAGTATTTATGCAGATAGTCTATGAGAGCGTGGTCCCTCGTCATGCCGATATAAATGTTGCAGCCACAATACGGCTGCAGTCTGGCTCTTCTATAATATGTCTATACTCTGTCGTATGGCTCTACCACCTATATTTTAATTTCTTAAGATTGTTTTTGTAGATAAAATTAAATATCTTATGAATAGTGGGAAGATTTACTAAGTTTTCAAGTGTTAGACATATCTTCATTGTTCGGAAGTTACCGTCTCGCGTCATTATCACATAGGTGACTTCCTTTTGTTGTCGCTCACGCTGTCACCGAGTTAAATAAAGGCTCTATTGCCAGGCTTTTGACTCGTTGAACTCGGACGAACTCCTTTCTTACTTACATTACATTTACGTTTTGGTGATTTTGTTACATAAAAAAGTAAGTTTGGCCGTTATATTTGTGGGTTTTCTTTGAGGCTTGTTATGACAAACATATCATTAAAATACATACGATTATTAAGGTAATTAGTCGGATGACGTATTGTGCGAACTCTAAAACTTAGAGTAAGTTTTGGAAACTGAATGACGAGCGTGTAGCGGTGCAGGGCGTTCAATACACTGACTCAAATGTATGTCCCGCTCCCGCCCCGTTACGATACACGCCCCGGTAAACGCTCCCCAATATCAAGCTTTTATAAAATAAAGTTTTTGTCTAAAGTACATAAAATGGAAGAGTCGTGGGCGTCGAGTTCACAATATGTAAGCAACTCCGTCTCAATCCCCGCCGGCGCGGCGCTAAAGAAATTGTTAATTTAATTGCATGATTTATCATATGCTCGACGGCGCAGGAAACCATCGCGAGGAAACCGGCATATCTGCGAAATAAGATATTTCAAGGATATGTGAAGTCAGCCAACACGTATATAACCCTCTTAGAAATGAGAGAAAGCCTGTGCCCAGTGAGATATATGCAGGTCGTAACTTTTTACTTTTACCATTAAAACATCCAAAAATAAATACAGTTCATTGAAAATCTTTCCAAATTGATTTTTTTTAAATACGTGTACTTGAACGATTTAAATAGCGTTTATTTTCTTAATCGATATCTTAAAAACGAAAATCCATTCGATATCTTGCATAAGAAAAGATCTCAATTGTTACGATGCCATTTAACGTGACTAACCAGTTTGTGTGCATTCTTTTCCTTTGGCGTACGACACATAATATACTCTATCGTTCAAGAGACAATTCATATAAATTTCGCGGAATAAAGCAGGAAAAATTGTGTATTTATTGTAATAGCTTATGGTATTAAATTATTCTTATTTGCGCAATCAGAAGCAGTTCAAGTAATAATAGTAATACTTAATACGATGTATACTTTAAGGTGTTATTAAATTTATATTATAAAACGGGATCGTGGATTCTCCGCTGTGTAGTGGGCGCGTATGAGTATTCACTACCATCCCGTTGATGGCGAAGGAGACGACAGAGGAAAACTGAAATGAAAATGCTGCTACCTTCCTGATAACTCAAAATAACAAGTCAGAGGCTTTTGATAGGCCGTATTGATTCATTCATTGTTATTGATCAAATTATTACCTTAGCGATAAGACGGGCGGGGCGTTCGGCGTGTGTTACAAAAGCACGCTTTGAGCGTAAAAGCGTGAAAACACTGTTGTCTTGATGACCTCCTCAAATCATACGTCATACCTATGTCGAAAGGTTATAATGCTCGCTCTGCCAAACGCTTTCTACTTAAGGCCTTAGGCTAAGGCCACTGGTACATTATCATATTCATAGAATTATGATGTTAATATTTGTTATTACAGTCTGTTTTATCTATCAGTCAAATGCATATTATACTGTATGACTGTTACATATTGTACTATACTGTATAGAATCTTCATATTCTCTCAAGATGGACGACGATATGGTAAAAATTCATAAAACTACTCGAAAAATTATGAGAAGACACAGATTCATATCAAACGTTTTTATGGATGGATGAACATGTATTCAATTATATTTGTCTTATATGTTATATATATATATATATATATATATATATATATATATATATATATATATATATATATATATATATATACTGCTCAGTAACGAAATAACAGGGCACCATTATGTTCTGTATTTTCTTATGAAAAGAATGAAAGGATAACTGTAAATGCAAACCATTTCATCACTTACACAATGTTTCGTTTGAAGAGTATTTTTGTAGTTTGGTTTATATGCACGGGTAAACCCGGATAATTTTCCGCATTTAAAATATGACGTTGAATTATTGGTAGGGTAGATTAAAAAAAAAGCGCAATTTGCCTAACAATTTTTTTTTTCTATAAAATATTATGGAATATTATTAAAAAATTACCGTATTTAAAATAAAGTTAGTAAAGAACCATGAATAAATTGCGTTTTATATTTAGCTAAGAAGTAATGTATGTTATTTTATAAAGATACCAAACCTATCTTTATATGTAAGTGAATGCTGTGGCCCGTAGACATCTACATCTATCCTCGATTAAGGATCAAAATGCGGAAGCGTTCTTCGTTGCTTATAAAAAGGGCCCCGGTTCTTGTCATTCAACATTCAAAATCCAGCGTACTCGTTCCCCGGTCGAGGCGACCATTCATGCTGCAGGCATAATACAGCTGCTGCGTGGCTCTACCGTGTTTAATATAGATTAAATGTTATACGTTTATCTTACTATTTAGATGTTGATATAATGTATTACAATAAGAACAGGGTTCGCACAGCTCAAAAGCTAACATGTTTAAAATTAACTATACATTATAATGGCATTCTTTGTACTTCGTGCTATGCTTTTCTTTTAAACTGAATTGGTTTGTGAGCATTGGTAATGGAATAAAAAAAATATAGAAACTTCTGAGATGTCGTCATTAATTTTACCATAGTTCGCTCGTAGTTATATGCAGTAAGCTGATCCAGCCACGCTAAACCCCTGCAGCTAAATTACAGAGTCATCGAACTACGACTGGTTTACGCAGAAGTATCCCACCCTATTAATGCAAGTTATATAAATTCCTCTCATTGAGTTGTGCTTCGGTTCTATTACCTTTTGGGGTACATGAATATAGTATTTTAATCATTCTTATGATTTCGTAAATATGCGCTTTGGAGTAACAGTGTTGTTCGTTGTTGTCTACCAAATATTGTAATTCCATTAGAAGCGCGTTTAGCTTGGTTGGAACATGCTCGCTGCATCGACTCTGGAAGTAGGTTTGAATATGTTGATTGTTGTATCAGTGTGTCTATGACAGTAAATTTGTCCTTTGGTCTCGTCTCATTGTAACGTTTCTTCATTTTCTTCATCAGCCCGGAAAAGATCGACTGTTGGCCATATACCCCTCCCATTGTCAACTCCCAAAGAATTCTCTATTGCAACGTTTATTTGTTAGGAAATATGAAACACTCATACTAATCACACACACACAGCACAACTGATCTAGCCTTTGTCTGATCTTTGATTCAACAATAGCTTTCACTCAATCGCATTTCGTTACCTTTTTTTCTCATTATTAGTTTATTTTTGCTGCACCACCTCCCATATGTTTTTCTCTGCTTAGCCTAATGGTTGACTGGGAGAGATCGCCTTACCTTAATGCATTAAAGTCCGCCATATGTACGATTTTATTTTTTGTTCATAAAAGTTTTAATAAGTAAATAAATGGCGGTATAACTGAATGTTTAAAACGGGAGAGGTCTATGTCCAGCAGTGGATTTTTGCGAGCAGATACAGAAAAAGAAGACCTTATCTTAAAGTTATTTAATATTATGCAAAGTTACTATATATATACTCCTCTCCATATGTAGACATCCACTAAGAACTGATTTTTTAAAATTCATTCCCAAAGAGTGTAAAATATAGCCAGCCTGTGAGTACACTGATGTGCTCATACGCACAACGGGGTGAGGCGTGTAATGTCAAAAAAGGATAAGGTGACAGCCTTAATATGTTCTAAAGCTAGCCACAGGTCCTTTTTTTCTGCCGACTTCCAAAAAGGAGCCGGTACTCAATTCGACTGTATGTTTTTTTTTTGTTTTTTTTTATGTGTGTTACCTCAGAACTTTTTTCTGGGTGAACCGATTTCGATGATTCTTTTTTTATTTGAAAGCTGGTACTTCTCGTGTGGTCCCATATGAATTTGATCAAGGTCAGACCAATAGTTTTTAAGTTATTCTTAAATAACTTATATTGAAGTCGGCTGTACAAAATTTTTAATTTTAAATTATGTCTAAAAGGGTTATGAAAAGGCGTCTAATTAATTTATATTAATGTGATGGATGTGTGCCTGCTCAATAAATTAATGTTTATTTTTATGAAGTTACGACCCGTACCAAATTACGATCTTTTATGGTTGGCCATTACTTTAATCGTAAAACCACGCTGCGCTACAAGAAAACTCTGTTCTCTTCCCCAATGTGTAATATTCCCCGCGCTCGTAACAGCTACGCTATTATGCGTTAATAGTAAGCGGATCAATATAATCTTTCATACGAATAAAATGACATGTGAGAAAATTTCATACTAAAATAAAGTTTCTTTGTTTCAGATTTGTCTAAAAACCGGTTTAGTGAAGTGCCTGACGAAGTGACCACTTATGTGTATTTAGAAAAGTTGTTGCTGTCACAGAATATTATAAGGAGCGTACCGGAGACTGTTGGAGGTCTGCAATCTCTTACGTATTTAGATCTCAGGTAAGGTGTATATTTTATAGTTATTTATCTAAGTATCTGCTTATAAACCTCATTTGTTGGTTCTATCTAAATTGGTGCGATTGCAGTTGCGATAAAATTGAATTAAATTAGCGGTCAGACTATGTGTGACCATCATGGACGTCATCGACTATATTAGTGTGAATTGTGAGACAATAAGTTCTGCTAACTCCAATTCACCAGTGTGATAAATGTTGATAATATAACTTGACCCAATACAAGGATTGGATACTTGAAAAATTAAATTTCAATTTATCTCTATGTTTTTTTTACTACGCCAGGTTTGGCAAACGGGTTGGCAACCGCAGATTTTTATTTTTAGTCGTTATTAGGAAGACGATGCTGCCCATATCCTGACTTGTTTCCTTCTGTTGCTTCTTACGACACCCACGAGATGATATGGGATAGTAGATATTCTTACTATACTACACGGAGTATATTAATAATTACAATAAAATTTACATTTACAAACCTCTTCTCTCATCTTCTAACTTCTATCTACTCATTGCATAATTCTATTGATTTCTCGAATGACATCAAAAAAGGAGGCTCTCAATTCGACTGTATTTTTTTGTGAATTACCTTAGAACTTTTTGCAGTGAAACTTTTTACGGAAGGGCTTTGAAATAATTCTGATCCGCTAGGTACCTTTTGTGCGACGAAAAGTAGTGGGGGTAAAACTACGTGCCACGTCATTCGGGTCGATCATTCAAATCGCGAACGCAGGCCATTACATACCACAAAGTACTTATATATAGTAATACAATTACAAGATTATTACGGTCCTTCGTTCAAATACTAATCTATTAATTTTATTTAAGGCAGTTACCAGGGTACACGGATTTATTTTAGAAAGAGTGATCGCATTTGAATAATAGCGGCATCTACTACATTTTCTACGTACCGCCATAATAGTTAATCAATTTTGGTTCGATAAAATGACTTTACTTATAGAATGAAGAAGATGGCGCTATTAAAAAAATGAACAAGGGAAGTAATTTTTGAAGCCCAATAAGGCAGAGCAGCGTTTATATTAAATAACAATTTGTAAATTTTCATTTAAATAAATTGTTGTTGACATTATATAAAACTTTGGGTTATTAAAATAAAATTACATAAAAAATTACATAAATAAAATATAATTACCTAATTAACAAACTTTAATGACTATTTTGTGTTACACTGGGATCTATAATAATTACTTCATTCACTGTGTTGAGTCCTAGTGATGCTTAAACCGATAATTTCTCTTCTTAAGATTGAAGAAGGTGATGCACTGTTGACACATAATATATATTTAATTTTATTTAAATAAATGAATAAGAAATGATAATAAATGAAAAATGAATGATGACTTTTGAATAGCATAGATTGTGTAATTGATGATGAATAATTGAAATGTTCCCTGTAATACAAAAGTTTAAAACTATTTTTACGGATTTTATCGCGTATATTAAATTATTTTATATTCCCAACGTTTCGAGTACTTTACAGCACCCATGGTCACGGAGAGGATCGAGGTGTTTGACGTCCCCTCCAGATTAAAATTATTAATTTTTGTTCTGATCTACGCAGTATGAACTTACAGTATCTTGAAGTCTTGCAGTTTTATTAATTATAGGATCACAAGCAGATGGTAGCACCCAGCCATCTTCTCTATTGAATTTAGGATGCTTTTTTGATTTCAATGGCGTCCCGAATCATCCTTGGAAGGAATCGGTGTTCTTTAGCGAGGATTTGTGGTCCATCAAATCTAATGTAGTGACGGGGGCGATCCTGTACGTGTTCACAGACTGCAGACTTCCCGGAGCGTCGATTCTTCGCATCAGCTATGTGTTCTTTAATGCGGTTTTTTATTGATATTTTAGTGTGAAAGCGGATGTTCACCTTGCTCCCTTGCTTAGGAAATTAATCATTATCAGTAATAAGACAGCGTAACGCACTATACATTCACACACATCTCAGTGTAACGTAGGGTAGCCTCTCAGCAACACCATCTTCCTTGCCTGCACAATAAGAACCACCATAACGGATAGAACCACGACACTATCTTAGCACTAGTAGAATGACTGCACTCGTAAAATGACTTAAGCGGAATCTTCCGCGCACGGCGCCTACAGTGAATTTTATACTGCACCAACAAGTGGGGGTTTCTCGATATACCATCAATTCCACCTCAACCGGTATTTTATAGACGCTCCGACATATGAATTAAAACTTTTTAATTTCAAAATTCCCCTAACGAAAATCGCGACAAAACTCACGGTACCAGCCAAACCAGATGTTTTGCACTACACCACACTGTGTGATTTATTAGTTTTTCTTCTTCGCACGGTTTCTATGTGGAATCGTTTACCGATTGACTTAGAGACCTTCATAGAACGAGTTTATTCCTTTTTACGGCCGGCAACCCACCTGCAATTCCTTTTGGTATTGCAGTTATTCACTGGCGGTGGTCAACACTTACATTATCAGGTGAGCGGCATGTTCGTTTGCACCCTTTTCTATAAAAAAAATAACACGTACATAAATGTGTTAGGTATTTATTTCTATGATATTGTATAACCATTCTTTTTATTTCGAGATTAAAATATTTGCGTAAACATAACGTTGGACCTTTAAATTTTGAAAATATAAATCAAACGCAAACCAAACACATCAATAAAATGTATACCTCTATTATTGTAACGTTTATGGGAATGTTACTCATAGAAAGACAACAAACGAACTCTAACACCTTAAATCTTAACAAACTATACTATGAAGAGCACTATTATCACAACCTTTATAATTAAATTACAATTAAAGTATTTTATGATCTATGGATGTTCTTAAATTAGCATTCCGGAGTACGTTCATCATGTCCATTTTGACATTCAATCGAAATTCTTCCGGTATCGACTTTAAATGTGGGAGAAGGGACAGAAGAAATAATTTGTCACAGTCCTCTGATTCGTTCATCACCTGAGAATCGACATTAGCGAAAGCGAATTCGTCTACAACAACGCTGTTCATTTTAGATTTTTTCGCGGGCGTTTGTGTTTCGTTGTTTTCGTTGGAGCAGTTTGATTTCGAATCTTCAATATCATTATAATTGTCGTCATCGTCATCATCTGAGCTGTCTTTTGTTATTTTCAGTTTTCTTTTCGTTTTCCAAATGTTGGACTTCTTATCGCCTCCTTCAGAGTCTGTTGAAGCACACGGTTCAGTGGGGTCCTGACCCTTGAGAAGGAACTGTAGCTTTTTGCTGTATATATATGGTCTCTTAGATCTATTAGGATTCATTACGTATTTTTGAAAGCAGTCTCTTATACTTTTCCATTTCTTTTGCAGTTGAAGTTCTGAAAAAAAAAATGAAATTATCAAAGTTATTATTCTGTGTTTAAAACCTTCATCTAAACCCGTAATAATCAAAGAAATAATAATGTTCTCTAATACAGAATTTTGGGTCGCAGGATATGATTATTGCCTCTCTCTCATAGTCCGATGGAACGGCAATCCGACTTTACGTGCTTCCCAAGCAACGGAGTTGAAACACCGCCAACTTCCCGACTCCAAGTTGCTACTTAGAAGTTCTTAATAGAAAAACCCAATAACTGATTTTGGCTCGACCTGGGAATTGAACTCGAGACCTGTCCAGCACTCGCTCTTACGACCACTAAATCAACGAAGCATTAAATTAAATAATATACTATATACTAAATAACCAGTACTATATTATTTAATTTAATGCTTCGTTGGTCCATCTTAATTAAAACGTGCCACAGTGTTCGTGTAATGTAACAAGTTCACGCCATGTTAGAATACAGAATAGGTAAAATTTACGGCGCACGTGCGTGAGCACACTTGGTTTTGTTTATAAACAAACTGTCTACGATAAACAAAGCAAAGCACGCTTTCGACTCGAGTCAGGGGACTCCTCGACATCAGAAGATTTGTGTAATGTAAAAAGTTGCTTCTAATAAAAAATGTCACAATGTCACATAATTACATCTTTCAAGTGTTCTTTCATTGAATATGTACTCTATAGTCAGTTATAATTTAGTGAACTATTTGAAACAGCTATTTACATACGCCCAAATACTCAAACTCCGCTCAAATTTAAGACGCCGTTAAGTCTCGTGCTGTCTCTATTACTTTAAAGTCAAGCGACTGTGACACCACGAGACCTTCATCTTAAAATTGAGTAGCGTTTGAGTATTTGGCCAATAGTCCACTACCTGCTATATTATAGCTGACCAAGAAAGAGCAGCGACATATCAATATGTGTCACACTTCGTCTGTTTTGTCTCTGTATCATTATAATCTAATCTTTTATTATTTCTTATTATCACATGTAAACAAAATGAACAGAGGTATTTATATACACCTAATTTGATTGTAAATTTTATATGATGATATTATATAATGTTCTTAACCAAAATATATAAATGTATAGTGTAAACATAATACGTTTACGTAACATGATAATAGAATTATATGTTTTACCGAGTTCCCGCATTTCACTCTTCGTGACCTTTACGCCTGGCTCCATAAGTTCGTTTACAACATCCGTCCATAGTTTTTGACGCATTGCCTTTGCACGATATGCAACATCTTCGAAATCCCATATTCCAGGACGCTTCCTCACTTCTTCTATCAATCTTTCTGGATCATATTCAAAATGCATCGTAGTCATCTTGAAAATGTTACCGGAATGAGTTTGAAACTGATGTAGCTTGTAAACGCGTATTGTACATACGAACGGGCGGATTCCGAGCGACTGACGCGCCGCCGCGGAGAAACGCGCGGTTAATTCTAAAATGGCGGCGTTTTGTTAGGGCGACAAACTTTTTTCGTTATTTTTGCTGGACTGTGATGACATAAATGCAAATACCGTACATCTTAATTATTTCATTAAATTATTTTGAGTTACTATAATTACCAAGAGTTAATTTTAACGGCTCGGAAGCGCAGTAGTTAAAGCGTTTGGTCATGGGGCA